ATTAGGGACCCAGTCTTTGTTAAAACTAACTGCAATTAGAATCTAAAGAACAGAGCTTTACCACAGTCAGACAAAAAAAAAAAAAGGTTGAAATGAGTGTGTTCATAGATGTGAAATTGGTTAATACCCTAGTGTTAAAAAATAAAATTCAACTAAGTAAATTTTAATCTTATTGGCTTTGTTTAACAATTCATGAATTGGGCAGCATCTAATCTAGCAGATAGTAAGGAGCTCCAAGGAGCTGTACAAAATGAGAGACTTTTATAGGCAGAAGGGAGCAGGAATAAGGAAGTGATACTAGCAAAAATGGAATCACTGTGGCAAGGTCACCTTCCTTGAGGGGATGGCAGGGGTCTGTCAGGCAGATGACCTCACCAGTGCTGACCAGATAATTCCAGATTGGCTGGTTTAAGATTCCACTTCTGGCAGAGGCCCAAACTGTAATTAAGTTAAATCTCGGTTTGGTGACGTGGGGCTTAGCATAAGTGACTCCATTTTGGGCCCGTTGTCTTGTTTTTAACACTACAAACAATAAAGGGTAACTTTGGGGGTTTGTCATTTTTACTAATGGAAATCAATTGTCTCACTACCAGACAAAATTTGCATTTTTCAGGCATCATGTGAATTACTTTCAGGTAAAAATCATTTGCATTGCTATCGCTTTTCTACAAGTCAGCCTCCACCCTCCAGAGTTGTAACAGAGTCTGGTCAGTGAAAAGCCAATCAGAGATGCACTCCCAACGTCACTCTGAAAGAATATCCAATAATCTCTTTTGCTTATTTTCAAGCTTAGGATAATTTTTCTCGACAGCCTCCGCCTTTGTGATCATAAATAATCTGCAAAGACTGTTTTTGATCATAGGGAAGGCTGATCTCAGTAGGTTTAGCCTCGTCATTTAAGAAGCGCAGCGAGAGTGTTGAATAACCATACGGGCTTGACCTCGCTTTGCAAATCCAGAGCCACACGGTATTGGGCAGCTACGTTGAGCAGGAATCTCAAATTGGACTTTGAAAAGTCTCTACTATTTTCCCTATCTTGAGGTTTTGAAACCAAGCCCAAGAAACTCTGTCCACCAGATTTAACCTGGAGAACCTATAAATTTGGTAAATATCTCTCTTCTTGAGGTCCCCTCAATTTTCTAGGCTTTCAGGCCTGCCAGGAAGTGACCTTCCTTGCCACCTGTGAGGCTGGGGCCTTGTCAGCCAGGCAGCAGGGCAGTTTTCCCAGGAGAGCTTTGTGGGCATTGGCTCACATATAAAGACAAACCCTTAACAGAGGGTTTGTTGTATGGGACTGGGTATAGAAATGGCTTCTATGTATACCAGTATGATAATTCTTTAAGATTGCCCAGTGCACAAGAAAGCCTGACATGCCTCGAAATCTTCTAGTGTATATGTGAAAGAAACTGGATAATAAACTGACAACAATTCTAAAAACATGTAAATTTACTAATAATGAGCAGTAAAGATAAAAGAAATGTTTAAAAGCTATCAATAATAATAATAACAAATTTTCAATCAACTATGATAGAGAAGAGAATAAACTAATGGTGGGGTTCAGGATATGCTACCCTCAAAGATGGTACCTGTTATACTGAATATCTTACGCTGAAGGAGTTTGAGAAAATGACAGAAGCCGGAAGTTCACTCTGACCTCTCCCTCCTTGCACCTTCTTTCCTGAAACAGGTCATAACATCCCCATGTGAAAGACACCCTTCCTGTACCAGGAGGAAGGAAGACTTTCTTATCATCAGAGGCTGGGAATTTGGAGCTGAGTAATCTGTATAAACCAACCTAGTTAAACTCACCCTTTTCTTCCTAGTTACTTCTTCACTGTTTACTACTCAGAGCCCAAACCCCTCTGTCTTGTCATTTCTTCACAAATCTATCAATTTTTTTGTCTAAAAGGTATAAAAGCTTCCTGCTCTGGTCACTTCTTCGGGTCTTCATTCTCTTGTGAAGGCTCCCACATACATGTAAAATTTGCCTGCTTTTCTCCTGTTAATCTGTTTTTGTCAGTTTAATTTTCAGACCCAGCCAGGGACCCTAAGAGAATCCAGGAATTCCTCCCTTACACTTCTTTCCATTTTCTCTATAGAAAATGATGTTACAAAATTGTCATCTGAAAAAAGAGATAAAAGAGTTCCCAAAAATGTAGGAAAAAGCATTATAGAAGTGTAGTGAGCAGTAAATTAATAAAAATATTATATTATTCTTCTCGATTTTGTGAATTTGTGGTATTTGTCAGAACATTTATATTTCTCATGTGTTGTGGTCTATTTTTTCATTCTAAACAAATATTAACACTTGTGCCTTATTTTTTATAAATTTCCTTAGAGAGTCTTCTGGAAGATTTGGGCCCCCCAAAGTTAGATCCAGCCCTGCCAAGTACACCATGCACCCGCCCATCTGAGACCTTGCCCCTTCCAAAGGCCTTGACACAAGCCAAGATGTGGGTCCCTGGTTCACAGATCTCTTATCCCCTTCCCCACTTCAGGGAAAATCTCTCTCCTGCTACTTTTCTGGGGACTCTGTGCTCTCCCTCTCCTCTCCCCTCCCAGACTGATTTCTTTGTTGACTTCCAGAGTCTCCAAAACTCAAGAGGTGCTTTCAACTTTAAGTAGCTTCTGTTTTCTCCCCTATCTACAAAAATCCCCAAGGCAAGGAAATATTAAGGGTCTGGGCACCAGTTTGGAACTTGAAGAGAGGCTTGTGGAAACCCACAAATTGATGTCAATGAATGATCCTGCTACAGGAGCTACTATAATTCTCTGATGGTCTTCATCATCCTCTTCTATCTGCCTTTGACTGTAAGTATATGCGTTGATATAAAAATTAAATAGTAATGTAAGTCATGTCTTGCGCTGAGGGAAAAGAACGTCCACTTAGAGTTGTAGAATGACCCCAGCAGCTGCACATGCAACACATTCGAGATCTTTGCTCTTCAGACAGTCCGAGGAAGCAACGAGAGCCCCAACGAGCTCTGGGGTTGCTCCCACACACTGCTGCATGCTTCCAAATGGAAACATAAATAGCAATGTAAAAGGAGTGGTGAAATGAGAGATCTGAGAACTGGTCATTTGAAGAGACAGGGCAAAGGTCTTCAGCCATTTGCTAGCAATTTCACAACCACTACTGAAGGAAGTCAGCATAACATTTGCAACCTGGCCTGTGTTAGGGAAAAACAGTGAATAATATACCATCAAAGGAATTGTGGTTTGAATTGTCTCCAAATGTACATTTGTTTCTTTCATCCCAGCTGCATCTGTACCCACTTTGCCGTGAAACAGTATAATTAACCACTGGGTTTCAGAGACAGGTGATAATTTTCAGCTTATTCTCAGTCAAAATTTTAGCTTGAAGATGCTTCTCCTTCTCCCTTTGGCAGCTGCTCTCAGAAGTGGATTTTGCTGGAAGCCTTTTATTTTCATCACTCTGATTGCTTTATTTATGTTGCAAATCACTGATTTAGTGTTTGAGAAATTGCCATGTTTGGGGCAGCAAAGCTTTCAGTTAATGGATTGATGAGTTCTAAAGTTGTTTATAAAATATTAAAAAAAAAATAAAGCCCCTTAAAGTTACAACTAATCATTCATTATGTTCAGGATAGTGATAAACAGTGACCTCTTACCATTTACTTCAACTCTTGGTATCAAATCACAAATATGAAGATCATATTTATCTAATCTTCACTTACAAACGTCTTGGTACATGCCTTAATAGCCAGGTTGGATAAACCCGTCTTCTCTAAATCAAATCTGGATGCCTTCCTCTCAGAATCCCTGACCTTGTTGAATGGAATGGAATGAAACAGCAATCAAAGTTGTGTACTGATTTTGGCTCTGCTGTGACTTAGTTATGTCACCGTGTCGCGACCTTTCTTGGCTTCTGTTTCTGATTAGTGGATGAAGAAGGTTGGATTAGATGATTACTTTATAAATGTTTTTTGTTTGCTGTTGCTTTGTTTTAAGTAAAAGAGTCCTTCAAATGAATTTTTACTTAGAATTCTGCTATATAAAGTAGTGTATTGGTTTTATACACTGTATAACAAATCACCCCCAAAACTTAATGTCTTAAAGTAACAATAATAATTTATTATCTCGCACAGTTTCTGTGGGTTGAGACTTTGGGAGCAGTATGGCTGAGTGGTTCTAGCTTGGTGTTTCTCGTGAAGTCAAAGTTAGATGTCAGCTGAAGGCTGGACTGGGGCAGCAAGATACAAGGATTCCACTTCTAAGGTGACTTATACGGCTGGCAATGTGATGCTGGCTGGGACCGGGGTCTCAGTTCTTCTTGACATGAGCCTCTCCACAGGTATGCTTGAGAGTTCTTACAGTGTGGCAGCTCCCTTCCCCTGAGATGTGCTTCTCCCTATGCTGGGGTAGAGGATTTTCTTCCACCCTTCCCCCAGATACAACTGGTCTTTCTCCATACCCTGGAGGCAACAAGATTCGCTGCCCCTCCCCCGGCAGTGCAAAGTTTTTGTTTTGCAGGAAACAATGGTCCAAGGAGGAGAGCAGAGCTTTGTGCCTTCCCCCCCCACCCCACAGTTATTCTAGACAATGAAACCATGCCACCGAGGTTTGCACCTCATTCTCTGCTGATTTCCCTCCAGGCTCCCAGCAGAAGGCAATATAGTTCATGACACTGGAGGCTGAGACTGAGGTCCGTCCTAGTCTCCATACATCACCCTGAGTAAACCCGTTGGTGTTTTCTGCTCTTCACTCTGGGAAAATCAGGGGCCACAGGTTAGAGGTGGGAGGCTGGGCTCCTTGTTAGGATCTCCTATAAACTTACTGTTTTGTTTTAGGAAAGCCCTTAGCCCATGTCTGATTCCTGACAGATACCTGCAAATGTTTATCCTTCTTTACATCACATTATGGGCTTCCTGTTCCTCTTTCTAGTTGATTTGGGGTAGAGAGCAAATTGTGGGAAGGGCTTTGGGTTCTTCTAGAGTAAATGTAAACCGCCACCTGTGGAGCACCTTCTCGGTTCCAAGCACACTGTATTTGCAATCTCTCTCCTTTACAACTCTCCTGTGAGCACAGGACTGTGTAGGGGAGGAAAACTTTTCCCTTCTTCCCTTCTAGATTCTATGGCTGGTCTAATAATTAAATTGACATAAGATTAACAGGAGAAAAACAAATTTAATTTTGTATGTATGAGGGGCCCATAAAAATATGAAATTCAAATAAGTAACCAAAGCAGGAAGTTTTTATACCTTTTAAATAAACAAATAATAAATTTGTGAAAAATTGACAAGACAAAGTGGTTTGGGCTTGGGGTAGTAAATTGGTGAAGAAGTAACAAGGTTTGTTAATATGTCTTTCTTGGCCCTAAATTCCCTGTCTCTGGTGATAAGGATGTCTTCTACCCTCTTAGTACAAGGAGGGTACCTTTCACATGAGAGATTTATCTCCTACTTTCAGGGGGACAAAGGAGGGTCAGAGAGTCCTTCTTGCACCGGCTGTTTCTCAAGCCCCTTTAATTCAAAATATCAATATGCCAAAGTGATATGTTTTGGGGTGACATATTCTGAATCCCTATAACTACTATCCCCATTTTACTGGTGAGGAAACTGAGGTGTCAAGAGGTTGCTGCTTGTATGAGGCCTCTCATCTTGTAGGTGCTAGGGACAGGTTTTAAACACAGGACTATCTTGTCTTTCTAATATAGGCTGCTGCCTCCTACCCCTTGGAAGACAACATTCAAAGGTGGGGTTAGGTTAGTGTTTGTTGTGATGAGTGGGGAGTAAAAGAACCAGAGGGGCCCCCGTCATAGCTGCTTTTCCTTCCTCTCCCCACCTGGAAAGAGGCAGGTGGGAGGGGTGTTTGCTTTGATGGAGGGTGACCCAAGAGGGTCATGTCCTTGTCCCCCCCCCCAATAGCACAAAAGAATTAAACAGGTTCACTTCCAGACGGGGATGTGAGGGCCTCCTTGCTTGGCTGGAAAGGCCTTTAGGGGGATGTGGTCTCACTGGTTGACAGTTAATAAGTCCCCTTCTTTTTCTCCCTCTAGGTGGCTCCTCGGCAGAGGTTTTCATTAGCATGCAAGGCATAGTCTCATTAAGTATTGATGTCAGGAGCATTTATTTTTATTGTAGTTGGGTGAGGGAAAAGGTTAGAGCCCATTCACATGCATGATTCCCTCCAGCCCTCAGCAACCCTCTGCAGTTCTCCCTCCTCAGCTCTCAAAGGCTGAGCCTAAGGAGACAGGAAAGCAATGCCAGCCCCAGTCCTAAAGAATGCTTCCTGCCCCCTACACACTCTCATGCACATACATACACCCCTACACACTCACACACGCGCGCGCACTCATGCTTCCGGGTGACCCGGGGTGGGGCAGTGTCTCTCTCTCTCTCCAGTAGGATTCTTTAAGGGACTTGGTTGGAGGAGGCCCAGGCTCTGCACACCCCGAGTCCTGGCTCTGCCATTGCCGGAGCAGTGAACACTGAGCAGGGGGGAACCTAGCCAGTTTCCAATCAGTCTGACCCAGCACTGCCTGGATGTCTCAAGCCCTCCAAAATCCTTGTTGCCTCTATGTTTGGGGAGATTCTTGAAGGCACCTGTTTCTCCCAGTTACTGCTTGCTCTGATATCCTGCTTGTGCTGATTTCTGGGTCCCATTTTGTCTCTTGTGGCCATTTCCTTCTTTCTGCCTTGCATCCACCCAAACACCAGACTCAGCCTCCTTTCCCTGCTTCCCCCAATACCACTCATACTGTGTGAGGTCTTTCCTACTGAAGGTTTGCTGATGACCATAGATCTGGGGTTGGGGGGCACTGTGGGCCAGCAGAGCAGGTCAGTTAATACCAGATATCAGGGATCCCAGCTCTTAAAAGTCCCTCAGCCACATCTGCCACCTGTATCCTGCCTCTCACTCTCTCTCCTGGGTCCCACTCTCCTGCCATTCTTCCTTGGCCTTCGCTCAGTTTCTTCTCCAGCTTCTCTCTGGTTCCAACCCCTTCACTTCCTCCCTTTGGAGCTCCCACAGAAGCTCAAAATTCTTCCAACTTTACATGCAGAGCAATTTCATTCTTTAGTCATGCCCTAGTTTGATCCATGGCATGTGTTGAGGGTTCTCTCTCTCGCTCTCTCTCTTTTTTTTTTTTTCTGAGGAAGATTCGCCCTGAGTGAACATCTGTGCCAATCTTCCTCCATTTTGTATGTTTTTGTATGTGGGTCGCTGCCACAGCATGGCTGATGAGTGGTGTAGGTCCATGCCCGGGGTCCAAACCCACAAACCTGGGCTGCCAAAGCGGAGTGCACTGAACTTAGCCACTACACCACAGGGCTGGCCCCTTTGCACAATCAAAATAAATTAAAAAATATAAAAATATAAATATATATAAGTAAATATCTATCTATATCTCTGTTTTCCCTGAGACCACCCAATGGCTAATATTAAACCAACAACCATTGTTTTAGCCTCTGCTGCTTTAGTAAGGGTTTGATGGTGGGGAAAGAGCCACAGTGTTACCGAGCCCCAAGGTGGGTCATTTTGCTCAGAGCCACTCACACCAATAGAATGAGACAGGGTTCAGAATAGCAGAGCAAAAACGTTGTTCATTGATCAATGAATGGAGGAGGCAGAGCTCGTGCTCTAAAACACCTTCTCCCCAAAGGGGAGGTGAGCAGGATCCTTATGGGATGTGAAGAGGGAGGGGTCTCCACGTCATCATTTGGGGCAGGGGCTATTTGGGGATGCACACATCTTCACTTCTTGCACACAACACTTTTTGCATAGGTTTCCTTCTGCACACGGCACGCTCTGCACATGACACCCTCTAGCCATCTTGGACGTTTCTGATTTGAACCGGTTCTGGGGTTTGGCCATCTGGCAATGTTCTGCCTCGGTTCCTATAAGCAAGCACAACTTAAAACAAAGCATTAGGCATGGAAAAGGCTTTAGGGACTTCTCTGGGTGACAACAGGACAGAAGGCTGTGCAGCAAAGCAGTTAAGCCCCTGGCTTCTTGTTGAGGAGAAACACTCCTGTTTGTTTCTCCTTTATTACTCACGTGGAACACTTCACTTCTGACACTTCTCGTCACCAAATGTGTGGGTATTTTCCCCACACCAAGCAATTCTCTGTGACACAAGCTGAGTGTCCAGAATTCAATTCAATTCTGACTCTAACTGGAGTTAGCACAGACCCTACAGGTTAAGGGCTCAGTGCCAGAAGACCGCCCCCACTTCCGACACCACTTGCAAGTGGTAGGTCCCCAGGTTACCTATAACTTCTGTCCAACTTGCCTACAAATTGGAGATTCCCATGCTCCCCTCCTTGGATTCTATCATTTGCCAGAATAGCTCACAGAACTCAGAGAAACACTTACTTGTGTTTACTAGTTTATTATATAATATAGGATATGATGTGGATGAACAGCCGAGTGAAGAGATACATAGGGCGAAGTCTGGAAGGGTCTTGAGTGCAGGAGCTTCTGTCCCCATGGAGCTGGAGTACACCACTCTCCTGGCACGTGGATGTGTTCACCAATCCGGAAGCTTCCCTAGCCCTGAGCTCCATACTGTTGGGATTTTTAGGGAGCTTCATCACGTAGGCATGATGAATTATTAACTCCATTTCCAGCCCCTCTCCCCTCTCCTGAGAATGACAGGTGGCACTGAAAGTTCCAAGGTTCTAATCATGGTGTGCTTTCTGGCGACCAGCCTCCCACCCAGGAGCCCACCAAGAGTCACCTCATTAGAACAAAAGACATTCCTACGATCCAGGAAATTTCAAGGGATTTAGGAGCTCACTGTCAGGAACCAGGGTCAAAGACTAATATTAGAACAAAAGATGCTCTTAGCACCCCTATTTACAAGGGTTTTAGGAGCTCATTGTCAGGACCTGGGGGCAGAGACCAATATATATATATTTCTTATTATTTCACACTTCTGGACACAGAGACCCGGATTTGAGTCTTGGCTCCACTACTAACTTGCTGTGTGACCTGAGGCAAGTTACTTAATCTCCCTGAGCCTCAACTTCCCTATAAAATGGAGATATTAATGATAACCACCTTGTAGGGTTCCCATGAAGATTAAATGGGAAAAATACACATAAATCCTACTGTTTGCTGTGTAGTAAACACTCGATATGTAGCTCTTTTATGTGGATTACTATATGAAGCTGAGTGGACAATGAGGTTTTTGCCAAAGGCATAGTTATAATAGTATTATTAGCATAAGCCATTATGTGTGCCAGGCACTTTACATGCCTTAGCTCATGTAAATCCGCACGATACCTCTTTAAGGGAGAGATTGTTGTCTGCCTTTCACAGATGGGAACATTCCAGTAGTTTACTGACTGTCATGCAGCTGAGAAGCAGGAAGATTCCAACAGGACTGGCTGGACTCCGAAGCCCATTTCCTTACTCTCTCTTCTGTATTTCCTCTGTCTCCTTTCACATATACCCCTAGAGCCAGAAGGACATGTCAAAATCTTCTAAATTTGTAGTTTTAAATGGGAAAAAATGCTCCATACTCAATATGAATTTACTTTACTTCTTTCAAAAGCTTTCAACAAAATTTAAATAATGGTTTATACAAAAGGAGCTTGCTATCTCTTTATTATCTTTAAGGGATGACATAGCGATGTTTTCTGACACCACACGTGTGGTTTTTCCAACCCCAACCCCAACCAGTTCTCCACCTCTCTGACACCAGCTGGGTGTCCTACAGTTCAATTCTGACACTGATTTCCTGGAGTTAGTGCAGACCCCACAAGTCAAGGGCTCGGTCCGGCAAGACTGCCCCACTTCTGATGCCAGTGGAAAGTCCTGGAAGGCCACTCGTACTTCTGACTGGCTGTAAAATCGTGGGTTCCCATGACCCCGTCCTCAGGTTCGATAATTTGCTAGAATGGCTCACAGAACACAGGAAAACACTTTACTTATGCTTATGTCTACCGGTTTATTAGAAAGAATATAACTCAGGAACAGCCAAGTGGAAGAGATGCAAAGGGAAAAGTATGGGGGTGGGGGCTTGGAGCTTCCATGCCCTCTCGGGGCCTCCTGGCATCTGGAGACTCCCCAGCCCAGAAGCTCTTGGAATCTCGTTGCTCCAGAGTTTTTATGGAGCTCCATCTCCAGCCCCTTCCCCTCCCTGGAAGTCAAGTATAGGGCTGTAAGCTGCAGCCCTCTGATCTTTTGGTCTTTCTGGTGACCAGCCCCCTCCTGTCTGTCTAGGGACCCCACCCTGCGCAACTTTATTCGTAGCAACTCAGGTATGATCGAAAGGGGCTCATTGTGAATAACAAATGACACTCCTGTCACTGAGGAGATTCCAAGGATTTGTGCCAGGAAAGACAAAACATATATTTTAATATATCACAGATGGTGTGCGCTATGAAAGGATTGTCTAATGGCACTTTTATAAGTCACTAAATAACTTCTCTTTCTCTTGCCTAAGGTTTTAAAAGGTGGCATGGTTCTGTCTGACGAGTATGGAGTT